GCACAGGGATCAGAACGAAACCAGCCCATTTCTCTGATCCCTGAAGATCTGAGGGATTGACAACTCGAAACAGATGGTCTGCTGTACTGGCTCCAAGGTGAGGCCAGAACCTGCACCTAGGTGAAAATTCTCCTTGCCAGGATTTCATCGAGGCTTTCTTGCAACACACCTCAAGCACCTCTCTGTTGGAGGAATTTTGATAGCAGGTACTTAGGGTTATGGATGGGAGAGGCATCTGAGCCTGGCATCACGACCTTGAAGTAAGACCCGGGGCCGACTTGGATGGAATGGGAGTATTCCAGTAGGCTGTGCATTGGCTGAGGCTGCTAGGCATGGCTGGGGGCAGGACAGCTTCTGTTTCTTTGGCAGAAACACATGCTAGACTTGCTTTCTGCTTCAGTACTTCTTTTCCCATTAATCACATTAAAAAGATCTGAGAGACCACATTTGCTTTTTTGAAAATCTGATTCCTGATAATACAAGGAGGGGTCATATTATACGATATTAAAGCAAATAACAGAATGAAGTCAGAAACATATCCACCTTCCTAGGGCTTGCCATTACTAATGCAATTCCCTCTTCACAATATAAAATAACAATCTAAGAACATTCTGTGTACCAACATATGACAATATTAAAAAACTTACAACAACTTTTAAAGAAAATGTGACAAAGACATTTTGGGAATTGCTATCAGTCCCCAGACTTCCTTTTAGTATTAGTGAGGTGGGCAGATACTGAAGGAATAACCTCGAAATACATGTGGTTTTTATGATTGAAAGAGGGGATATATGAGAGCATCTTACCGCAGTGCTCAGCCAGAGTAAGCTCCCAGTAAGAGGCCAAAGAAGCACACACTGAACCTCAAAACAAAGAAACCACTGTGCAATACTATGTCTCAGTACAGTTGCCCATGGTGTTTGCTGTTTAAAATGCTCCTCTCTTCCGTTATCCACTTGGCTAACTCCTTCCCTTATTCAGAATCCACTCTAAGAGGCCATATCTGACTTCTCCAGGCACTGTCTTCAATACACCCAGACAGACCTTTCCAGCGTACATACTTTCTCACCACTCCAGCGGTCAAAACACTGTGTTATTTTTGATTATTTGTTGCATATCACCCCATCATACTTTAATAACTCTATTTATTTCTAAGTGAAGATTTAAATAATTTAATAGAATTTACCTGAAATTTTACATCAAAAGAAGTGAGATCTGGCCACCCTTAAATATATTATCCAATTTAAATTAATGTCTGTATGTAGGACAAGGTAGGGGTGAAGTTACTTTTTTTCCCATGTGAATATCTGGAGGTTCCAGCACCATTTGCTAAAAAGGCACTATATTATGCAAGAAATGCATTCGTTCAAGAAAAATTCGAAAAGAAGAAAAAAGATATGTGGAAACTCATCACTCTATAGTAGTTGCCATTTTACTGAAGTTTAGTTTATAGATGTGTATGTGACTCTATCTTGTTTTCATGTTCTCCTGTCTCCCTCTCTCTTATAATAATACCATTTCTCCAATTATAACATGCCAACGTTTAAATTTTAATATTTGTGAAACAGATTTTGCAATTGTTTTACAAACAATAAACACACCTCTTTGTAGGCCAGAAAGAGAAACAGACTATAACTTGTTTTAGCCAGGGCACTGTGAACTCAGCCATGTGTGAAGGTTTTTGTTTATTTTACCACCTTCTCAGCTGAGCTCTCATTGGAAATGTCAAATATGGTTAAAATTTAAGTGGAACCTAAATCTCTATTTGTCTGAAACAATTTTTAAAGCCCTTACAATAAAAGATCTAAAAACTTTTATTTTTAACAATGAAAGAGTTATTGGTGTTAATTTCATCCTTCCACTGGAGACAAGTATCAAAAAGAACAAATATATGTAAAAGTTCTTTCTGATATTGGTCATGGAAATAATTAGAATTGTGATTTTTGAGATCAGGAAAACAAATAAGTTGAGCCATATGATTACTCAGGGGATTTTGTGTTTGTTTATTTTTTGGTTTTCTTCTGGTGGTATTTTATGGATCTTGTTGCAGAGAGGAAGAACTGAAGCAGGGAATGGAAAAACTGTTGAGCTGAGAACGCAGAAATGGTAGTTCAGATAGCTCAAGTGAATGAAATTTGAAAAACAGCGTACCAAAGAGAAAGAAGCTTTTTTCTTTGTATGGATAGGTCCCACTGAGTCTGTTGCTGAAGTCTAAGTTTTAAATGCACAAAGTAAAATTTTACAAACTTGGCCAAAAAAAGAAAAACAGAGAAGCTGTAAGCTACAATTCCCAGAGCACATGCATGCTTGGAAGGCAAACCAACCAGAGCAAAGAAGACTTTAGTGAGTACCCAGATTATTTAGTAGAAGCTCCAGAAGAATCACATTTTATATGTGGGTTAAATTAAGCCTTCAGTAAAGGTTTATCCAGACCTTCCCCAAAAAAGTTAAAATAAAGCTTAAAATAATCGTGGTGATCCATAAATCACTTAAATCTATCTCAAAACAAAGTTTTAGATGGTCTTCAAAGAAAATGACAAAGTTTAATATTAAATCTTCAATAACAGGCTGGGTGTGGGGGCTCATGCCTGTAATCTCAGCACTTTGGGAGGCCAAGGTGGGCGGATCACGAGGTCAGGAGTTCAAGACCAGCCTGATCAGCATGGTGAAACCCTGTCTTTACTAAAAATACAAAAATTAGCGGGGTGTGGTAGTGCACACCTTGGAATCCCAGTTACTCAGGAGGCTGAGGCAGGAGAATCATTTGAACCTGGGAGGCGGAGGTTGCAGTGACCTGAGATCGCACCACTGCACTCTAGCTTGGCAGACAGAGTGAGACTCCATCTAAAAAATAATAATAATAAAATAACAAATAAATAAATAATAACATAATGTCATAGTATCCAGACTTTAATTAAATATCATTAGCTTACAAAGCAGCAGGAAACTGTGGCACATACAAGACCAAAAAAAGCCAATGCAAATTAAATTAGTAATTACAGAAATTATGGAACTAGCTAACCAAGACTGTAAAACTGTTAGGACAAATATACTGAAAGATGTAAAGGAGAACATGAACATAAGGATCTTCATGGACCCTCTTTGGAAAATAACCTCATGGAACTTCTAAAGCTAAAGTTATCCAAAGTAAAAAAACTTATTGAGTGATCTTAATTGAATGTTAAATACAATGGATTAAAATATCAAAAAACTTAAAGTCAGGCAATAGAAATTATAGAAATCAAAGCACAGATACAGATATAAAAAATACCACAAATGTTTTAAAAAGCTCAGTGAACTGTGGGAAAATATTATATACACCTATTTTATATACAAAAGTAGAAGAGAAAAATATTTTAATAAATAATGACACACATTTTCAAAATTTGTTGAGAATCATAAACTTGTAATTTGAGCCATCTGAAGATACAGGATGGATTCCAACTCAAAATTTTATTTAAATGTCAAGACTGATGATGCCTCACACATACTATGAGATTGTGAAAAGTTTATTACTCACAGAACAAAGCACCTAAGAAGAGTAAGGTAGGTTTCCAAAGCTGGTCTACAGATGGTGTTAATTTTATCCTTCCCCCAGAAACAAGTGTCAAAAAGAACAAATACATGTAAAAGTTCTTTTAAGAAGTTCTTGGAAGAACAGGGGAGAAAAGGAAGATGACTTTGGGATTTTACTAAGAAGTGAGGAGGAGTGAAGTTTCACCAAAAAAGGGAGCATACAGGTTTTCTTATCAATTTTACTAGAGGCAGGCAGAAGAAGAAGGAATCCAAGGGATTAAAAGCTCTCAGCACTGAAACTTCAAACTGTAGAGTGAAACTCTTTATTACAATCCACAAATCTAAGAAACTTAAGAAAACCTAAGCAGGATAAGCCCAGAGAAAGCCATGCAGAAGCACATTATAATCATATTTCTACAGAATAATGTGTGAAACAGAACATTTTTAAAAAGCAAGAGAAAAAGGCATATTATAAACAGAGGGGCAGATATATAAGAATGACTACAGACTTCTTGTCAGAAGCAATGCAAGATAATACACAATAGACCACAATGTTTAAAGAACCAAATGAAAGAAAACCTCACCCCAATCCAATCCAACCAAAACAAAGCTAAAATTCTCCTTTCAGCAAAAAACTTCTTTAAAAACTGAGGGCAGAGAAATATGTAGATCTGTCTTTGGTAACAGCCAAGTAGCATCCTGTGTGACCAACTTTCCTGTAACTGACAGCTATACACTCTCAACATAACATAAAAGCACAGATACCTTAAGGCATTGGAGATTCACAGACGCACTAAGATTAGGAGGGGTAGTGCATACCCAGTGGAGAGAATTATAACTGAGAGTTGTCGTTATCACAGTTTTTGGCATGGACCATGGGAAAATCAGACACAAATGGAAAATGAGAAGAAAAGGGAAGAGAAAAGAGACAGAAGAAAAGGAGTCAGTTAGAAACTCCCAACATTGTATCTGCCTACATCTCTGGCTGAAAAACCAAAAGCAGCTCAGCCAAAGAAAAACAGTATCTTAACTGGGATCAGAGCTAAACAAAACAAAACAAAGCAAAACATAATTTTCAACTTGAGTCCAGCTGAGAAAATTTTTTGCTTGAACAAACATGACATATTGAGGGGGAAAAGATAACAGAAATCAGAATTTATAAAAGAAAAAAAATCTTATTTTTGATTTTTTTTTATTTTTTGAGACAGAGTCTTGCTCTGTCACCCATGCTGGAGTGCAATAGCATGATCTTGGCTCACTGCAACGTCCACCTCCCAGGTTCAGGCGATTCTCCTGCCTCAGCCTCTCGAGTATCTGGCATTACAGGTGGCTGCCACCACACCTGGGTAATTTTTGTATTTTTAGTAGAAACGGGGTTTCACCATGTTTACCAGGCTGGTCTTGAACTTCCAACCTCAGATAATCCACCCACCTAGGCCTCTCAAAGTGCTGGGATTACAGGCATGAGCCACCACACCTGACCAAAAATATTTTACTTTTGGTACCACAAAGCAGGTGGCAATGCGTTAACTGTGTGCGTGGTGTCAGGCTGAGGGCCCCTTCCAGCTTTGTCAAAGGGAGTGCTAACCTTCTCTCCTTTCATATGACACAGAAATCAGAATTTTCACAACTCCTTACTCATAATACCTAGGATAGCCCCCCAGCTAAACTGATGGAGAAATTAAATATAAGATGTAAATTAGGAATGTCTGGAATAGAAGACAGGACATCATGAAAGATACTACAGAAATTAAAAAGGAGTACAGAAAAATATTATGAACAATTCTATTCCAATAAATTTAAAAAATTAGATAAAGTGGAAAAATTTCTTGAAGACGAATTTAAAAAAACTAACCTAAGCAGAAATAGAAAAAAAAATAGACTTCTGTCAATTAAAAAAATCATATTCATAATTAAAAACCTTCTGAAAAAGAAAACTCCTGGCCCAGATGGCATCACTGGTGAATTCTATCCAACATTTAAGAAAGAAATAATTGCTATGCTACAAAAATTATTTCAGAAAATAGAGGAGTAAGAAACACTTCTCAACTAATTTTATGAAGCCAGAATTACCCTCTATCAAAACTAGACCAAGGCTTTACAAAAACGAAGAACTGTAGACAAATATGCTTCAAGGACACATACCACATATTACATACTTTAAAACTTATCAGCCAATTCAGTGTGCGCATGTGTATGCGCACTATGTAGGTATGTAAAATGCCATGTCGTGGCTAATTAAATGCAAAGATTGAGCAAGTAAATGCAAAGTTGGTTTAGTAGTCAAAAATCTATTAGTGCCATTTACCGTGTCAGCAGAATTAAGAGAAAATGCATATAGTCATCTCGATAGATGCAAAAAAAGTATTTGACACAATCCAATACGATAGAGAGCAGTAAACGAATCAATGTAAAAATCACCACACAAGATAGGTACTCCGATAATCAGAGAAGACGGAATGAAAAACAGCAAAGAATAAAAATGTAAGGTGAAACCAGGATAGTGAGCGGTAGAGGCTCTGAAAGGGATGCAGAGAAGGCGAGGGGGAGGCAGGAGTTAAGCAAGTAGCAAAGAAACTAAAAAGAGAGAAAATGGCCCGGCGCGGTGGCTCAAGCCTGTAATCCCAGCACTTTGGGAGGCCGAGGCGGGTGGATCACGAGGTCAACAGATCGAGACCATCCTGGTCAACATGGTCAAACCCCGTCTCTACTAAAAATACAAAAAATTAGCTGGGCACGGTGGCACGTGCCTGTAATCCCAGCTACTCAGGAGGCTGAGGCAGGAGAATTGCCTGAACCCAGGGGGCAGAGGTTGCGGTGAGCCGAGATCGTGCCATTGCATTCCAGCCTGGGTAACAAGAGCGAAACTCGGTCTCAAAAAAAAAAAAAAAAAAGAGAGAGAAAATGTGAGGAGAGATGTGAGGCAGGGAGAAGGGAGAAAGGTGAAGGCTAACAGAATTAAAGAGGCGTCTAAAGGATCTCAAGGCTCTGAATATCTAGAGTTTTTGTTTTTATCGTAGTATCCAGTGACCACTGCAATGTTTACACTTTCTAATATGCACTGTCCTAGCTGTCACTATCCTGATGAAGCCTGTCCCGGAGCACTGTTTCTCAAAGTATGGTCTTCACACACTTGCGCAGAACCACTTTAGCTGTTGTTAACGGGTCAGATCGCCCTGCTTCCACCCCATCTCTCCTGACTCAGAATCCCTGGGGTGGAATCTGGTAATTTCAATGTTAATGTGCACCCCTTGGGATCCTGATGCACATGAATGCCTAGAAAAGCAATTTCTTTCTTTTCTTTTTTTTTTTTAAATTATACTTTAAGTTCTAGGGTACATGTGTAGAATGTGCAGGTTTGTTACATAGGTATACACGTCATGGTGGTTTGCTGCACCCATCAACCTGTCATCTACATTAGGTATTTCTCCTAATGCTCTCCCTCTCCTAGCCCCCCAGCCCCTGACAGGCCCCAGTATGTGATGTTCCCCTCCCTGTGTTCATGTGTTCTCATTGTTCAACTCCCACGAACGAGTGAGAACATGTGGTGTTTGGTTTTCTGATCTTGTGTTAGTTTGCTGAGAATGATGGTTTCCAGCTTTATCCGTGTCCCTGCAAAGGACATGAACTCATCCTTTTTTATGGCTGTGTAGTATTCCATGGGGTATATGTGCCACATTTTCTTTATCCAGTCTATCATTGGTGAGCATTTGGGTTGGTTCTAAGTCTTTGAAGGATCTATCTATAACTAGAAATACCATTTGACCCAGCAATCCCATTACTGGGTACATACCCAAAGGATTATAAATCATTCTACTATAAAGACACATGCACATGTATGTTTGTTGCAGCACTGTTCACAATAATAGGGAAGCAATTTAAACATATAAACACATGCAGAAAATATGCAACAACGAATCACTTAATATGGTACAATCCAAGTGAAATGTACCATTTAATCTATATGCTGCAGACAGATTCTACAGAGAGGGTGAACTCCAACTTTTAATGTGTGAATACACTGACTGCCTCAGGTGTTCTACCATCTTCCAAGCTTCCGGCCCTTCCATCTCCTCCATAAATCTAGTCCCTGGTGAGCATTTCTCTCCTGATCTCCTGGAGGACTCATTGCCTGTGTTCTCCCTCCAGTTCCCTAATACAGTATGACCCGGCTGTTGTTGTAGGGTTGTTTGTGTTGTTTGCTCTCTCCTGACCTCTGTGGAGGCTCCTGCAGCCCCGAGGGTAGCCGTATTGCTCTGCCTGTGCTCACCTCCCTTCATCATATGGCCACACGCGAACAGCTGATTGATGCTGACAGACGGCAGATCACTGGTAGTCATTGTCAGCTGTTCTGTTTACAGAATCTTGGTTATGGGTTATTCAATTCACCAAGGATCCCAACCAAGCAAGATACTGGCATTTCTCTGAGTCCTCTCTCCTCTGCCCAAGTCACATAACTCTTTAACGCTGCTTGTTTTGCAAATCAGTCCTCTGCATGCCATCTCCACGCAGTTGTCTTTGTTTAGCTCTCATTGCTTATCATCAGGATTGAAATTTACAACTATTCTCCCTGCTTTTCTTCCCTCCATAGTCTTCCTCACCAATGCTGTCTGCACAATTGCTACAAAAGGAATCTTTTGAAAACATCCCTATGGTCTTCTCACTCTCTTCTTCAAAGTGCTGTAAACACTCCATTTATCTGTGTATTGCAGCTGGAGGGTCCCTGCCGAATGTGGAGCTTCTTTTTGTCCTGACTCCACACTGCCGGGTCATGTACCACGTGACAACATAGCATCAGGAGCTCAGTTTCTGGAAAATAAATAAAAAATAAGACCTGAGTTTGAGTCTCACCCCCGTTACTTATTAGCTCTTTGACTTGAACACATTACTTAATCCTCAAAGCCTCAATTTAATCTACATTAAGTAGGCATAATAATAGTGCCTGTGTTGTAAGGGGATTTCAGTGAATAATAGAAATAGTGCTTGAAAAGTGCTTAACATAGTGCGTGACCTAGCCCTGGCATATATGCTCAGTAAATACAAGTTATTATCATTATCTCACACTGTTGTGTCTTTATGCAATTCCTTCTGCTTAGAATGTCCTTCCCATCCTTGCCCATCGAGAAAACTCCTACTCTTTTTTACTCTTCAACTGCTGTCTGTTCAACTCCTGCCTTCTCCGAGAAGCCTAGAGAGTATTCACACCATCAGGCATTTTAAGCTCAGTTTTTTCGACCATCTAACTGGCTCCAGTGTAAGAATGCTAAAATATATGCCATCCCCGATAAACAAGGTAAGGGCCCCCCCATATTTATTTCTGTACCTCCAGAAGTTAGGGCAGTAATGCTGTGACTTTGTAGTTTTGGTCAGTTGATTGAAAGAATGGATGAATGACTTTTCAATGTCCTCGTCTGTCTACCAGGGGTCAGTCCCATTTCTAAATATATTTAAAATACCATTAAAACACGCAAGATATTCAGGGCAGAAGGAAATGAATCATTTCTTTCCTTCAACATACAGCGTCATTGGAGGATTGAATAAATAGAGAAATAGTAATCCAACTGATTGTCTTTGTTCCCTGGGAAATGTTCCTTCATCCATATAGATTCAGCCATCTTCCCCAGTGTGCCCCACGCAGCCGGGCCACACATCCATCTTTATGTTGTGGGAATGTTCCTGCTGCCTGAGGATACATGTGAAAGTGAGACTCATACTTCAATTCCAGATTGGAGGAAGCTGCTATCCAGCTTGTGAAAGCTCTTCTAAAAGATTCTTCTTTTTAATTGGAGCACAGAAAACTATGCTAAGCTTTTCTTATTGTAGGTTTCCTGATATGTTGGACCATGACAATTTTGGGAAATGTGTTTAGCACCCAGTTTAGGGCAAAGCATTAGGTTAAAAGACCTATTGTTTGTGACTTGGAAGCTTGGATTTCCCAGCCCTCTGCAAGCAGGCAATCCTCTGAAAACAGTTTTTGTCTATTGCCACACTGCAATCACTTACTTCATTGTTGAAATTCAGTTTGAGAAGAAAAAAGAAAGAAAGAAAGAAAAGAATAGGAATTGTCATCCGCAGCTGCAAACTCCAAAATCTTCTGGGGCTCAAGACACATTAGAATTGCTGAAGCCATTAGAAGAATCTTTTTTCATTGTGATTGGACTTTTTCACCTTCAGTTCACTTCTCAAGTCTGCTCAGATCCATGAGAATTATGCTTTTCATTCTCTAGACCATATCCTAGAGTCTGTGATTTTTAGCCTCGAAGCAGCGTGTTTTCTTTTTTTTGGACAAATCCAGGACAAGTTTATCACGTTACTCTCTTGATCTCTTCTTTATAACTGTTTTTCACTTTTTAGCAAATAACTGGATTTCATATGAATTTTCAAGGCTAATATCTGATATCTCAGCAAAATAAGAATTAGATAAAATATTTTAATTGTGCACAAGATCCTTCTCCTCACTCTCTTGCTAATTGCAGATTTCTCTAATTGAGAATCTGTGGGTGGGTATCTGCCCCGGAAGCCTCCTATGTGTCAAGACATCTGGTTCACTAACCATCATGCTGCCTTTCAGTGGCGACCAACTGCAAACACCAGTCCTCCCTGGGACCCA